AGATGGATGATATTCTACGATGAGTAACAATTTTCACTGTAGTAATGAAAAATCTTAAACGTCAAAAAAGGGAAATTTGAGGCAAAAATCGGTTTAATTATGTTTGCTTTAGAATGTGAAAGAGTATAAGCATTTAGGAAGTTTAGTATAATGTAATTCAAACAGTATATTGTCAATCCGGTACATACATTACGGATTTCTCAATAACTAGAATATCAGGGAATTGTACTATGAATAGAGGTTGTGAGTAATGTTTACCATTAAAAGTATTTAAAGTTAGTATGCTTTGACAGTGAGTTCAAGTACTTGACAAACAATCAGTGTCATGTCATTTGTATGTCGGGGTCTGTGTGTCGGCTTCCTTTGGGGTGTCTCGTCTTAACGGGCACCTATTATCAACATTAAATTGCTGTAGAAGTAATGAGTCGGTAATCCGTGGGCATGCGCGAACTCGTGACATTTTATAAAAGCAATGGTTTTATGTACTGAAGTGGTCATTTTCGTCTTTTATGTCTTGAAATCACAACCAAATTCGGTCAGATAATGTTTTCATAGCTGCCAATGGAAAAGGGGTTAGGTATTTGTTATTACCCACAATGCCCCTACACGCAGTTGCCGCCATTTTGTCACTTGATCTCATGAGAAGTGGTTTTGAAAGTGGGCCAAGTGTCTCCCGTTATTAACACAACAAGGAACCCAGCACAATGAATTATTCCTTCACTTGTCAATGTTATCTGAATCAAGAAAATGGCAATGCGAGTTACACTAGAAGCTTTGGAGACTCGGGTACGTGAAAACTTGAAGACAGGAGCAGTCGTCGATCGCGGAGGGAGAAAGGGAACATTCCACGACCATTTGAATTAAGCAATAGCTCATGTTATGTGTAACGTTTAATGTACATAAGTAGCTAGGACAATAAATATGAAATTAAAATTTTAGACTTGATGGAACTCGATAAGCAATTGCGTGTCGAAATGTTGGCAAGAGATATGGCTTCCATTACTTAGTCAACTCAAGAAGTCGATTGTGATTTGGATCAGGTCACATACGACTAAATGGTCCATTAACGTAATGTATGAAATATTATCTTTGCAAGAACAATATGAACCACAAATATATCCAGCAATGTCACGACTCAAGACAACTTCCAAACGTATTTAGAAGTATTCGAATATTATTGCAAGAAATACAATGATTGGAAGTTCTATTTTAAAGTTTGTTATTGAAAATTGCTTTTGATATTTGTACCACTGAAAACAATACAGTGGGAGATAGTGAGTCATTTTGCAATTATAGGAATTCTCTGACCATGTTTGGTGCATGTGAAGTTTCAAAATTCTTAGTCTAGTTATTAGAGTTACAAGACAGCCTATGACCAAAACAAAATCGACAATATTTTTCAGCCAACTTTTAAGACGATATTTATCTTGATACTATAATGCTGTTGAGTGGATAAATTGTCAACACAATATTTTTGGAAACTGTTTTTTAAAAGGTTTTCAAGTCAGTATAGGATAGATTACTGATGTATGAGGTACGGTAATTTAAGTTAATCATCTGATGTGTAACAATTTTATACTTAAAATGTCAAGATATTTAACTCTGAATAGTGAGATGTGGATTTTGTTAGATCCACAAAAGAAGTTTGTAAAGAAAGTTGGATATATAGAACGTCTAATAGGATATGTTGGGGATACATTGATGTACATTGCAAACCTAAACTTATATGAACTTGTTGATTTTGCTTCTTAGATATTAGCATATCTACACCTTGCAAATTGATATTAATCGTTCTCAATTCTAATGTTAAAATTTAAGGAAAACCTTATTGGAAAAAAAAAATCAAGTTAATGTAATTTCTTGAAAATGTAAACTGATAATCCAAAGAACTTTCACAATAAACACTGTTTAATACGTGCAATGTATAATTAGAAATATGCAGCTAAAAGAGTTTTAAATAGTACATAGTAAAGCGCCAATGTACATTATGTTTTGGTCTGGACATATTTCATCTTGCACACATCAATTAACAATTTATTAACAATACCCCACTAAATAGTAGCTGCAAACACATTGTCAATAGCAGTATGAGATATTAGTTATGGAGGTCCGCCTATCACCCCATTCAATTTCTTGTCAATTTTTTGGTCAGTCATCAAATGTCCAACCCAAGCTAAGGAAATATGTCCTTTTCTCGCTTGTCTCTCTACTCTTACACATTTCACTAAGTTCTTCTGCGATTGAAAATTTTATCACTTTTCAGGTCAAATGATCAGTTTTGATTTATTGAACTTCGTGCTTATTAGACAGTGGTTACAGATTATTTTTCCTCAAGCTTAAGGAACATTGGACAGTTTTCCTTTCTCCAGCTAGCGATATTTTTGACGAATGCTTGTTTGTACTGATTGTTTATTGTCTTCTAACTTTCAGAAGCTGGAAAGCAGGAAGAAGGTCCTGGCAACGATTGACTGGCCGGAGAAGAAGAAGCAGAAAGTTCTTCCTCTCTTGGGGAAACAGTTAACATTTCTCAAATTGGAAAACCAAATAATACGGATTCATCTACATTAATGAGTTTAGGAAAACATTCCATACTCACTGCTATTTATTCCCTTATTGCTTTCAATTATTTATGCATTTTGAAAATTCAGTTTTTATTAATGTGAACATTCCAAATATCATTTGTTTATCAGCAAATTGTTGAATGTAAATAAACCTATCATGACTTTGTGTTTTATTCTGTTATTTGTCATCCTGACGGTTTTACCATTGTGCAATTGTATAAAATACTTGATTTGGCATGTGTGTTGCATGAAACACAATCTCTTTTCTGGAGGAGCGGGTAAGGGGCCGGCACAACAGGTTATAAGCTGGGAGCTAGGTTGGAAACAACAGACTAAGCACCAGCAGGAGCCTCTAGGGACGAGTGGGTAAAGTCCCGACATGGATACCATCCAGATGCTGGTGCAAAATGTAGTTTAAGTTTTAATGGAAACTAGGTTACAACTTGGAAACTAGGTTGAAACCTACAACAAACTAAAACATGGAAACCAGGTTGAAACCTACAATAAACGAAAACACGGAAACCAGCTGGATCCGGCTTGGAGGAGTGGGTAATGAATCGCACTGGAAACCAGCCATTTCTTCTCAGTTTCAGTGTTCCGGAAACCAACTTATCTTTGTAGTGATTTGGGCCCGTTTTAACCTAACCCTAACCCTAGCCTGTACAAGTTGAGGTAACGGTGAGTGTTAGGGTTATAGCTAGGGTTAGGTCATTTCGGACCCTTTTGGTCGATTTGGGTGCGGTTTTGGCCTTTGGGCGTTTGCGGCGGTGCTGGGCGGATGCGGGAAGCGCAAAAAACCGCGTGTTTGGCACTTATTTGGGTCCGTTTTGGGCCTATTTTGAATCCAGGGGCGGGTAAGCCGGGTTAGCGTTTTCTGCCTAAGTCCACGGCGCTTAGTATGACGCGGGTGGCAGGAGTCTCGGGAGGGGTGCGGTTTGACTTTGGGCATGTGCGGGTATGCTGGGCGGATGTGGGAAGCGCAAAAGACCGCATGTCTGGCACTTATTTGGGCCCGTATTGGGGTATTTCGACGGCCTATGGTTAGCGCTAGGGTTACGGGGACGAGCTAGGATTAGGTTTATTTCGACCCTTTTGGTCAATTTGGGTGCGGTTTTCGTTGGGACGTGTTGGGAGGCTGTGTGCGGAGGTGGTGAGCGCAAAAAACTGCATGTTTGGCACTTATTTGGGCCCGTTTCAGCCTAACCCTAACCCTGGCCTGTACAAGCTGAGGTAACGGTGAGTGTTATGGTTATCTATCTATGAAAAACTTATATAGCGCCATATCCAGAAATAAACTGCTCTTCAGCGCTTGGGACTCTGATGGAAAGTTAGTTGTTGTATGCTTCACGGAAGTAATGAATCTTTAGCTGTGATTTGAATGAGTCCAGATCGTGGTTAGATCTCAGGTGTTGTGGGAGTTGATTCCACAAGTTTGGTCCGGCAGTTTGAAAACAACGGCTGGTGATGCGACTGTTTTTTAGTTCAGGTGGCTGAAGGAGAAACTGGCGAGAGGATCGAAGAGATCTGACAGGTTGATATCTGGTTATCATGCTGGAGAGATACTGAGGGGCTTGATTGTGGAGACACTTGAAGACAAGCAGGACAACTTTGTATTTGATCCGCTGTGGCACTGGCAACAAGTGTAGATGTTGGAGAATTGGTGTGATGTGATCATGTCTCGCTGTTCTTGTTGCGACTCGGGCTGATGAGTTTTGTACAACTTGTAACTTCCTGATCAGACATGATGGCAAACCTTGCAGGAGTGAGTTACAGTAGTCGATGCGTGACAACGCACAGGCATGGACCAAGGAGATGGCGGTTCTTTTGTTCATCTACTTTCGTACCAAGGCAAGGTTATAGCTAGGGTTAGGTCATTTCGGACCCTTTTGGTGGATTTGGGTGCGGTTTTGGCCTTTGGGCATGTGCGGGGGTGCTGGGCGGATGTTGGCAGCGCAGAAAACCGCGTGTTTGGCACTTATTTGGGACCGTTTGGGGCCTATTTTGAGTCCAGCGGCGGGCAAGCCAGGTTAGCAATTTTTGCCCAAGTCCACGGCGCTTAGTATGACGGGGGATGGAAGGAGTCTCGGGAGAGGTGTGGTTTGACTTTGTGCATGTGCGGATATGCTGGGCGGATGGTGGAAGCGCAAAACCCGCATGTTTGGCACTTATTTGGGCTTGTTTTGGGGTAGTTCGGCCCGTCAGGGGTGGCCTAGGACTAGAGCTAGGGTTACGGGGGTGAGCTAGGTTTAGGTATATTTTGGACCCTTTTGGTCGATTTGGATGCCGTGTTTGCCTTTGGGCATGTGCGGGGGTGCGGTCGGATGTAGGCAGCGCAAAAATCGCATGTTTGGTACTTATTTGGGCTATATATGTTACATATTATATGTATATAGAACATTCACAGAGGTTTAAAGATACAATATATAACAATATATTAAATATTTTATAGTGTTTATTAAACAAAAACACAACAACATTCGTGAACACGAAACTGTGGTTTTATCTGGAAAATATTATTTTTTCACACTTATATTTGTAACACGAATATCCTTCTACTAGGATTAACTGCTTCCTATTTACATAGCAGCTGACGTTATAGAAACTGTTGCTATGGTGTGGTCTGACTGTGTGGATGATGCAGCATGTCGAAAATACTGACGATTGTGCCTCGATCTGGTGTCAACAATGCATTGGCACGAAATAAAATGAAATGTTCAAAGAAAGCTCTGCGTACATACAGACGTGAAATGCCACGAGTTTAGTTACGTGTGAACAAACATCAGCCATTTAAAAGTAAGTTCTGAGTGCTTGTTGAAAGGTGGCGTTGGGACAATGAGACGTGGAACGGTATCCCAGGTATTCCGTTGTGTGTTATCTAGAGAACAACTCAGTAACATACAACGATGACCTTTACCAGCAAGCAAAGCTACTCAGAGAAACGGAGGGTCACAATCGGGTGCAATCTGTATCTGTAAATGAATTTATTTTCAAAATTCCTGAGAATAAACTATTTTTCGTGACGATTTCTTCCCATGACGCTAGTTCTTCATCATAACCCGAACAGGTTGTCGATCTCCTATACAGCTACATGTGATGGCACAGAACCCCACTGTACACACCCTTGTCTGAAGTGCTCCATCCGGACGTCCAATCATGCCCTTGATGATGCCAGGCATCAAAACACACTCTCCCTATCTGTGATTGTTTTCTTCAGGTCTCCTTTCTCTTCCTCAAGTGCAGAGTCCTCTGGCGGAGGTCTGTAGAAATACTGGGCGAGGAAGAAGAAGAAGACGGCGACTCCTTTCACCATGATCCACCAGATAAAAATACGTATACCCATCTCGGACTTCTCGTAGATCCAGCACGACCCTGTCTGTCCGCAGATGTCCTGCCACACCCTGCAGGCACTGTCTATGATGGTCCCCAGCATCAGGGGCCCTGGCGTGGTGCCTAAAACAGGGCGAGCAACCAGCAGCGATCACATGCTGTTTAACCAGCTTAAAATAGAAACAATTCCAGAAAGAACCCAGTACAAAACCAGTCTATGTGGTTCCCGAACTGGTGTACTGACACCTGCAGTCGATTTACATTAGTTCATACTTCATACAGCAGTACATACTTCATACAGCAGTACATACTTCATACAGTAGTACATACTTCATACGGTTATACATACTTCATACAGTAGTACATACTTCATACAGTAACACATACTTCATACAGTAGTACATACTTCATACAGCAGTACATACTTCATACAGTAATACATACTTCATACAGTAATACATACTTCATACAGCAGTACATACTTCATACAGCAGTACATACTTCATACAGTAACACATACTTCATACAGTAGTACATACTTCATACAGTAATACATACTTCATACAGTAATACATACTTCATACAGTAATACATACTTCATACAGCAGTACATACTTCATACAGCAGTACATACTTCATACAGTAATACATACTTCATACAGCAGTACATACTTCATACAGCAGTACATACTTCATACAGTAGTACATACTTCATACAGCAGTACATACTTCATACAGTAATACATACTTCATACAGCAGTACATTCTTTATACAGCAGTACATACTTCATACAGTAGTTCATACTTCATACAGTAATACATACTTTATACAGCAGTACATACTTCATACAGCAATACATACTTCATACAGCAGTACATACTTCATACAGTAATACATACTTCATACAGCAGTACATACTTCATACAGCAGTACATACTTCATACAGCAGTACATACTTCATACAGTAATACATACTTCATACAGCAGTACATACTTCATACAGCAGTACATACTTCATACAGCAGTACATACTTCATACAGCAATACATACTTCATACAGCAATACATACTTCATACAGTAATACATACTTCATACAGCAGTACATACTTCATACAGCAGTACATACTTCATACAGCAATACATACTTCATACAGCAATACATACTTCATACAGCAGTACATACTTCATACAGCAGTACATACTTCATACAGTAGTATATACTTCATACAGTAGTACATACTTCATACAGTAATACATACTTCATACAGCAGTACATACTTCATACAGTAATACATACTTCATACAGTAATACATACTTCATACAGTAGTACATACTTCATACAGTAATACATACTTCATACAGCAGTACATACTTCATACAGCAATACATACTTCATACAGTAGTACATACTTCATACAGTAGTACATACTTCATACAGTAATACATACTTCATACAGTAGTACATACTTCATACAGCAGTACATACTTCATACAGTAATACATACTTCATACAGTAATACATACTTCATACAGTAGTACATACTTCATACAGTAGTACATACTTCATACAGCAGTACATACTTCATACAGTAATACATACTTTATACAGTAATACATACTTCATACAGTAGTACATACTTCATACAGTAATACATACTTCATACAGTAATACATACTTCATACAGTAGTACATACTTCATACAGTAGTACATACTTCATACAGCAGTACATACTTCATACAGTAATACATACTTCATACAGTAGTACATACTTCATACAGTAGTACATACTTCCATACAGTAATACATACTTCATACAGTAATGCATACTTCATACTTACTTTATACAGTAATACATACTTCATACAGTAGTATATACTTCATACAGTAGTATATACTTCATACACAAGCAGTACATACTTCATACAGTAATACATACTTTATACAGTAATACATACTTCATACAGTTATACATACTTCATACAGCAGTACATACTTCATACAGCAGTACATACTTCATACAGTAATACATACTTCATACAGTAGTACATACTTCATACAGTAATACATACTTCATACAGTTATACATACTTCATACAGCAGTACATACTTCATACAGTAATACATACTTTATACAGTAATACATACTTCATACAGTAGTATATACTTCATACAGTAGTATATACTTCATACAGCAGTACATACTTCATACAGTAATACATACTTTATACAGTAATACATACTTCATACAGTAGTATATACTTCATACAGTAGTATATACTTCATACAGCAGTACATACTTCATACAGTAATACATACTTCATACAGTAATACATACTTCATACAGTTATACATACTTCATACAGCAGTACATACTTCATACAGTAATACATACTTCATACAGTAATACATACTTCATACAGTTATACATACTTCATACAGTAGTATATACTTCATACAGCAGTACATACTTCATACAGTAATACATACTTTATACAGTAATACATACTTCATACAGTAGTATATACTTCATACAGTAGTATATGCTTCATACAGCAGTACATACTTCATACAGTAATACATACTTCATACAGTAATACATACTTCATACAGCAGTACATACTTCATACAGTAGTATATACTTCATACAGTAGTATATACTTCATACAGTAGTTCATACTTCATACAGTAGTATATACTTCATACAGTAGTACATACTTCATACAGTAATACATACTTCATACAGTAATACATACTTCATACAGTAATACATACTTCATACAGTAATACATACTTCATACAGTAGTATATACTTCATACAGTAGTATATACTTCATACAGTAGTACATACTTCATACAGTTATACATACTTCATACAGTAGTATATACTTCATACAGTAGTATATACTTCATACAGTAGTATATACTTCATACAGTAGTACATACTTCATACAGTAATACATACTTCATACAGTAGTACATACTTCATACAGCAGTACATACTTCATACAGCAGTACATACTTCATACAGTAATACATACTTCATACAGTAATACATACTTCATACAGTTATACATACTTCATACAGTAGTATATACTTCATACAGTAGTATATACTTCATACAGTAATACATACTTCATACAGTAATACATACTTCATACAGTTATACATACTTCATACAGCAGTACATACTTCATACAGTAGTATATACTTCATACAGCAGTACATACTTCATACAGTAATACATACTTCATACAGTAATACATACTTCATACAGCAGTACATACTTCATACAGTAGTATATACTTCATACAGTAGTATATACTTCATACAGTAGTACATACTTCATACAGTAGTACATACTTCATACAGTATACATACTTCATACAGTAGTACATACTTCATACAGTAATACATACTTCATACAGTAATACATACTTCATTCATACAGTAATACATACTTCATACAGTAATACATACTTCATACAGTAGTATATACTTCATACAGTAGTACATACTTCATACAGTAACATACTTCATACAGTTATACATACTTCATACAGCCAGTACATACTTCATACAGTAGTATATGCTTCATACAGTAGTATATGCTTCATACAGTGAGTACATGCTTCATACAGTATACATACTTCATACAGTAATACATACTTCATACAGTATACATACTTCATACAGTGGTATATACTTCATACAGTACATACTTCATACAGTAATACATGCTTCATACAGTTAATACTTCATTATTGTACATACTTCATACAGTACATGCTTCATACAGTAATACATACTTCATACAGTAATACATACTTCATACAGTAGTACATACTTCATACAGTAATACATACTTCATACAGTAATACATACTTCATACAGTAATACATAAGAGTTTACATACTTCATGTAATACGTACTTCATACAGTAGTATATACTTCATACAGTAGTATATACTTCATACAGTGTACATACTTCATACAGTAGTACATGCTTCATACAGTTATACATGCTTCATACAGTATCGTACATACTTCATACAGTAGTACATACTTCATACAGTGAGTACATACTTCATACAGTTATACATACTTCATACAGTGAGTACATACTTCATACAGTGAGTATATACTTCATACAGCAGTACATACTTCATACAGTAATACATACTTCATACAGTTAATACATACTTCATACAGTAGTATATACTTCATGCAGCAGTAGTACATACTTCATACAGTGCATACTTCATACAGTAGTACATACTTCATACAGTTACATACTTCATGCAGTAGTACATACTTCATACAGTAATACATACTTCATACAGTAATAATAGCATGCGATACTTCATACACATAGTTCATATACATCGTACTTACTAATACAGTAGCGGTTCATGCTTCATACATGCATGCTTCATACAGTAGTATATACTTCATACTTTATATACATGTATATACTTCATACAGTAATACATACTTCATACAGTGATACATACTTCATACATTGTTATACATATATGCTTCATACGGTAGTATATGCTTCATACAGTAGTACATGCTTCATACAGTAATACATACTTCATGCAGTAATACATACTTCATACAGTTATACATACTTCATACAGTAGTATACATGCTAATACATACTTCATACAGTAGTTACATACTTCATACAGTAATACAGTATACTTCATACAGTGCATACTTCATAATTTACATACTTCATACAGCGTAGTATACTTCATGCAGTACTGCATACTTCATACAGCAGTACACATATTTCATACAGTGGTATTACTACTTCATACAGTAGTTATACTTCATACAGTAATACATGCTTCATATACAGTAATACATGCTTCATACAGTTATATATGCTTCATACAGTAATACATGCTTCATACAGTAGTATATACTTCATACAGTAATACATACTTCATGCAGTAATACATACTTCATACAGTAATACATACTTCATACAGTAGTATATGCTTCATACAGCAGTACATACTTCATACAGTAGTACATACTTCATACAGTAATACATACTTCATGCAGTACGGTGTACATACTTCATACAGTGGTACATGCATGCTTATACTTCATACACAGTAGTATATGCTTCATACAGTATACATGCTTCATGCAGTATACATGCTTCATACAGTAGTTACATGCTTCATACAGTAGTACATACTTCATACAGTAATACATACTTCATGCAGCAGTACATACTTCATACAGTAATATATACTTTCATACAGTAGTACATACTTCATACAGTAGTACATACTTCATACAGTTATACATACTTCATACAGCGGTAGTACATACTTCATACAGTGGTATATATACAGTAATACATACTTCATACAGTAATACATACTTCATACAGTGGTATATGCTTCATACAGTTGGTACATACTTCATACAGTAATATATGCTTCATACAGTTAATACATGCTTCCATACTACATACAGGTTATGCATACTTCATACAGTAGTACATGCTTCATACAGTAGTACATACTTCATACAGTAATTGTCATGCTTCATACAGTAATACATACTTCATACAGTTATACATACTTCATACAGTATAGTACATGCTTCATACAGTAGTACATGCTTCATACAGTTATACATACTTCATACAGTTATACATACTTCATGCACAGGTAGTACATGCTTCATACAGTAATATATACTTCATACAGTGGTACATGCTTCATACAGTATAGGTATATGCTTCATACAGTGGTACATGCTTCATACAGTAATACATACTTCATACAGGTATACATACTTCATACAGCTTCAGTACATACTTCATACAGTAATACATGCTTCATACAGTAATGCATAATGCATAATACATTCATACTGTTACATACTTCATGCAGTGAGTACATGCTTCATACAGTGGTACATACTTCATACAGTAGGTACATACTTCATACAGTAGTACATACTTCATATACAGTAATACATACTTCATACAGTAGTACATACTTCATACAGTGGTACATACATGCTTCATACAGTATGTACATACTTCATACAGTACACATACTTCATACAGTAGTACATACTTCATACAGTAGTACATGCTTCATACAGTAGTACATACTTCATACAGTAGTACATACTTCATACAGTAATACATACTTCATACAGTAATACATACTTCATACAGTAATACATACTTCATGCAGTAGTACATACTTCATACAGTAGTATATACTTCATACAGTAGTACATACTTCATGCAGTGGTACATACTTCATACAGTTAGTACATACTTCATACAGTGAGTACATACTTACATACTTCATACAGTAGTAATACATACTTCATACAGTAAGTACATACTTCATACAGTAGTATATACTTATATAGTTCATACTTCATACAGTAGTACATACTTCATACAGTAGTACATACTTCATACAGTAATACATGCTTCATACAGTTATACATACTTCATACAGCAATACATACTTCATACAGTAGTATATGCTTCATGCAGCAGTACATACTTCATACAGTAATACATGTATACAGTACATACTTCATACAGTAGTATATACTTCATACAGTAGTACATACTTCATACAGTAGATACATACTTCATACAGTTATACATACTTCATACAGTAATACATACTTCATACAGCAGTACATACTTCATACAGTAATACATACTTCATACAGTAGTACATACTTCATACAGTAATACATACTTCATACAGTTATACATACTTCATACAGCAGTACATACTTCATACAGTAGTATATACTTCATACAGTAGTACATACTTCATACAGTTATACATACTTCATACAGCAGTACATACTTCATACAGTAATACATACTTCATACAGCAGTACATACTTCATACAGTTATACATACTTCATACAGCAGTACATACTTCATACAGTAGTACATACTTCATACAGTAATACATACTTCATACAGTTATACATACTTCATACAGCAGTACATACTTCATACAGTAGTATATACTTCATACAGTAATACATACTTCATACAGTAATACATACTTCATACAGTAATACATACTTCATACAGTAGTACATACTTCATACAGTAGTATATACTTCATACAGTAATACATACTTCATACAGTAGTACATACTTCATACAGTAATACATACTTCATACAGTAATACATACTTCATACAGTAGTACATACTTCATACAGTAATACATACTTCATACAGCAGTAATACATACTTCATACAGTAGTACATACTTCATACAGTAGTATATACTTCATACAGTAGTACATACTTCATACAGTAGTATATACTTCATACAGTAGTACATACTTCATACAGTAATACATACTTCATACAGTTATACATACTTCATACAGCAGTACATACTTCATACAGTAGTACATACTTCATACAGTAGTACATACTTCATACAGTAGTACATACTTCATACAGTAGTACATACTTCATACAGTTATACATACTTCATACAGCAGTACATACTTCATACAGTAGTATATACTTCATACAGTAATACATACTTCATACAGTAATACATACTTCATACAGTAGTACATACTTCATACAGTAGTACATACTTCATACAGTAGTACATACTTCATACAGTAGTACATACTTCATACAGTAATACATACTTCATACAGTAGTACATACTTCATACAGTAGTACATACTTCATACAGTAGTACATACTTCATACAGTAGTACATACTTCATACAGTAGTACATACTTCATACAGTAATACATACTTCATACAGTAATACATACTTCATACAGTTAGTACATACTTCATACAGTAGTACATACTTCATACAGTTATACATACTTCATACAGTAATACATACTTCATACAGTAGTACATACTTCATACAGCAGTACATACTTCATACAGTAGTACATACTTCATACAGTAATACATACTTCATACAGTAATACATACTTCATACAGTTATACATACTTCATACAGTAGTACATACTTCATACAGTAGTACATACTTCATACAGTAGTACATACTTCATACAGTAATACATACTTCATACAGTAATACATACTTCATACAGTACATACTTCATACAGCAGTACATACTTCATACAGTAATACATACTTCATACAGTAGTACATACTTCATACAGCAATACATACTTCATACAGTAGTACATACTTCATACAGTAATACATACTTCATACAGTAGTACATACTTCATACAGTAATACATACTTCATACAGTAGTACATACTTCATACAGTAGTACATACTTCATACAGTAATACATACTTCATACAGTAGTACATACTTCATACAGTAATACATACTTCATACAGTAGTATATACTTCATACAGTAGTATATACTTCATACAGTAGTACATACTTCATACAGTTATACATACTTCATACAGTAGTTCATACTTCATACAGTAATACATACTTCATACAGTAATACATACTTCATACAGTTATACATACTTCATACAGTTAGTACATACTTCATACAGTAGTACATACTTCATACAGTAGTATATACTTCATACAGTAATACATACTTCATACAGTAATACATACTTCATACAGTAGTACATACTTCATACAGTAGTACATACTTCATACAGTTATACATACTTCATACAGTAGTACATACTTCATACAGTAATATATACTTCATACAGTAATACATACTTCATACAGTTATACATACTTCATACAGTTATACATACTTCATACAGTAGTACATACTTCATACAGTAGTATATACTTCATACAGCAGTACATACTTCATACAGTAGTACATACTTCATACAGCAATACATACTTCAGTACATACTTCATACAGTAGTACATACTTCATACAGTAATACATACTTCATACAGTAGTACATACTTCATACAGTAGTACATACTTCATACAGTAGTACATACTTCATACAGTAGTACATACTTCATACAGTAGTATATACTTCATACAGTAATACATACTTCATACAGTAGTACATACTTCATACAGTAATACATACTTCATACAGTAGTACATACTTCATACAGTAGTACATACTTCATACAGTAGTACATACTTCATACAGTAGTACATACTTCATACAGTAGTACATACTTCATACAGTAGTACATACTTCATACAGTTATACATACTTCATACAGTAGTACATACTTCATACAGTACTATACATACTTCATACAGTATATACTTCATACAGTACATACTTCATACAGTAGTACATACTTCATACAGTTATACATACTAGTACATACAGCAGTACATACTTCATACAGTAGTACATACTTCATACAGTAGTACATACTTCATACAGTATTACATACTTCATACAGTAGTACATACTTCATACAGTAGTACATACTTCATACAGTAATACATACTTCATACAGTAATACATACTTCATACAGTAATACATACTTCATACAGTAGTACATACTTCATACAGTAGTACATACTTCATACAGCAGTACATACTTCATACAGTATTACATACTTCATACAGCAGTACATACTTCATACAGTAGTACATACTTCATACAGTAGTACATACTTCATACAGTATATACATACTTCATACAGCAGTACATACTTCATACAGTAATACATACTTCATACAGCAGTACATACTTCATACAGTAATACATACTTCATACAGTAGTTCATACTTCACAAACATCAATCCACCAACTGAACATCCATTACTCCAATACTATTTTCTGAGCACAAGGGATCTAGGTTGAAGAATAACAAGGGGCACACATCTCGGTGTACTGGAACAGGAAGTGTTATGATGTAAGGATACCGATATATGCGTACCTCCAAGTCTCAGGAACAACCACTGGAAGCCAATAGCCAGAGATCGCTGGCCACCTGGAACACATCTGAAATAGGACGAGTGAGTGAGTTCGGTTTGATAAACAAACACAGCATGGACTATAAACAAACACAGCATGGACTATAAACAAACACAGCATGGACTATAAACAAACACAGCATAGACTATAAACAAACACAGCATGGACTATAAACAAATATAGAACCATGTGCAAAAGCCGTTGTTCTACCACACACAATCGGCCAGGTCTCATTTAGCAGTAACTACCAGACCTTTCTGCCATGACAATGGGCACCGGTGTCTTATTCATGGACATGAAAGGCATCGCAGTTGGCTGTGCAGATGTGCGTCCTCTTGGTGACCAAGAAACTTATAATCTGGGTTCGTACCACAGTTTGCCATAGTTATTGTTCTGGATTTGTGAGCACCATAGTCATAGTATTGGGTTTCGTCTGTGCCTGCCTCACTTCCTTCTTTCCTGCAACGGAAACTGACAATTGCAGAAATACAAGAAATACTGTTCAGTACGGGGTTAAGCTCAACTCACTCACTTGTTTTTAGCATGAGTACTGGGGATGAGCCTGTTGCCAAACTTGTATGTGATTTGCGTCACACCCACAGCTTTAATGTAACGCACCTGAGAGTTGCTGTCTGTGATGGCGACACGACCGTGAACGTGAGCAACATTCCCAGGAACAGCAACGGCGCCACAACGTACAGCAAGTAGCAGTCAGACGGACAGATACCGTCCATGGCGCCCGGGACTGTGATGTTGTTGGTTAATGAGAACGTTGTGTCCGCAGCCGCTGTGACGTTGTCAGACCACGCTGACATGTTCATCAGGTGTAAGCTATTCTCCACACAGGAACAATTCCTATACATCTGAAACACAAGACCGATGACTGGGTGTAGTCATGGCTGCTTCATAGTCTGCTTCATTTCAACTTTTCACCAGAGTGGAGTTAACTTATTAGCTCTTCACTCGTTGATACAAAGAGTTAAACCCGTTTCTGTTGCCCCCAGCTGTGATATTACTGGAATATTCCCAATAACTGCCCAAAAATACTGCCGGATGTATCAGAGCGGTAGGGGATCTCGACTTCAGTAAGGGCATGCCGTTAATCACACTCATCATGTATACGTAGTTGATGGCAAGGGCACCATGCTGCATCTTTGGGGGTGTGATCACATGTAGTGACTCAGGTCACACCTTGTCACACAATACATTGACAAAACCCTATGAACAAGCACGATGTTTAGTGAGTATTTTTCTAGAATGTCGCAAGGCCAAGGTCAAGTGTAGAACGTTACCTTTATGGGGCCCATGGGCCCATCTGTCCAATCATATTGCAGAGAACATCCCGCGTGACATGGCGAGAAGTAAATGACATTGTCCGCTCCACACACTGGTTCGTAGTTGAGCTCCGAGCAGTGACAGGCCGAGTTGCAGGATCCTATCAGATTACTCTTTCCTTCTCGAGATCTGAAGTAAACATGAATATGGTAAACGGTGATTGGAGTAGTGATGTTTATGATGACTACCACGATAGCTGGGCTGATAACGATGAAGACGATGATGATGACAGTGCAGATACAGACGGTGATGTGAGTCGCGATGTTGGTGGTGATGATGATAAAGATTGCGTTTCAAAGACTTCTTCGAACACACGGATATCAGATGTCAGAAGGTGCTATACATTAGCAAGCGGTCATGCCGTTCACTGCTGTCCATATATAGTAGCCAATTGGTACATCATCTCATCATTCATTGCATTTTGAGCGACGTTTGCTACAAGTTTAATGGTGACTTGTTCTTACAAGGGGAGTTAAGTGGGAATCAAATTTACTCCAAAATTTACACGTGAATTTCATACTGCTAAATTCCCTCACTTGAACGTATATCGAATATATGAGGGAATGCCGAGCGAAGAGTCTCGATCTGAACGCACTATTGAGGCCTGCGTAGATCCAGCTTCTCATGTTCTGTTCCTACTTACTCAAGTGTACTGTACTGCACTGTCACGCCCGCCATCTTGGGTTTAGGACACTGGATGAGGAAGAGGCCGCCCACGACGAGAGCGATGCCACAAACGATCATGCAGAGCCGGATGATGCCGCGACACTTTAGCTCCATCTTCTTGACGATGTATCCCCCGAACAGCATCCCTCCTCCTGCACCTGGCACAGTTATCGCCCCTGAGAACACAAGAGTGGTGCCATCCTCAGGAGAGTGAGTGAGTGAGGTTTAACACTGCTTCACAACGTGCCTCAGATGACCATGTGACTGATGATGTCAGGTCACAATATTTTCATTGTCTACAGGATCTACCTACCCATGATCATACTGGCGTAGGCAGCCTGAAGGTTGAACTGCTCTTGGAGAAACTTGGCGCCGAAAGCCGCCATTCCGCTAACAGCCATACCCCCCATGCACGACGCCAGCGACAAAAAGAAGAACGTTGGGTTCTTGATCTGTTCCAGGGAGACAATATATACATGAATTGAGACTGTACATATATGCCACATGTGTTGTTATTGCTGAACAATGTCCTCTAGTCATCTAATATGTATGTATGTGTGTGTATCTATGTATACTATCCCAAAATAGAAACGCATAGGCGTTTTGTATTTTAAAAAATCTATTAATTACCTACTGTGTTCAAACAATCGTCAACAAAAGTGTTGATAACATGAAATTACACAATTGCACAAGTGAAAAGTCGACTTTACCTGAAAATGTTGATTTTGATGAGATTTCTTACAAGAATGAAAAAGGCATCGATGACCACAATGCAACAGAAATCACCTTCCAGTTGAAATTGTGCAGCAAAGCGCATGCACTGTCTGGCTATAAAAATCCAGATTACTTTCGGAAATCGGCATTCGTTTTAAAGGAGTTCCAAGGTCAAATCACTACGCCACGTCTTGACGCTGCGACAAGGAACATCGCCATTGAAAGAATGCACGCTGAGATTACCAATCTTCTGTTGCCAGGCGTCTGAATGTTAGTCTGAGCACGATATCACTGCTTGCAGCTCGTTACAACCAAAGAGGTATAACAAATGACCGTCCCTGTACAGGCAGACCTCGAGTCACCACTGCAGCCCAAGATCGGTACATCCGGGTACTACATTAGCGTGATCATACTGCCAGACTGAGAGCCAGGTAACCCGACGTCGGGACCATGCTACGTGGTCACGATTGCGCTCAACGTCTCCGTTATCTCAAATTATCCACTTGGTTATATAGACATTACCTTCTTCTAAACTGATGTAAAAATTCATTTCTTAAAGTCAATTTGTGGAAGAGTTATACATTGTTATTTAAAATGTATTTATTTATAATATTTATCATGAATGGAGAACTGAAACTATGTAATAGAAATACCTTTTCGACAATAAAGACATATCTTATCTTATTTTATCTTATCTTATCGTATATACCCACATACGAATAGTACTGGTGAAATCACTTCATGTCAAGATAACCAATTGTCGGTTACTTGGGACTTATTCTGGAGTTCTATCGAGATATGCCGATTGCAAGTGTTTTATTACGTACCAAACTCCCCATCGCCCTCGGGAAGTCCCTCCAGCTTCTGCCAAAGTCATCTCTGTCCGTTTCAGAGTTGAAATCTTGATACGCTTCTGACTTCCGGGCTGCCTGAATTGCGGCGCTACCTGGATATGCCAGATGTAGAAAAGAAATCAAATTCTATTACCATACCATTTTACTCAGGGTTTAAGCCATGTCTAACAGGTCGTAGAAAATTGGGTTAAGGCGCCCGACGAATGGGCCCCTGGGAGGTGACGTGTTTGTGATGTCATCTCAGCACCCACAAGAGGGTCTGTCTCTGCAGCATACAAGCTACCGTACATGACGGCTGCCGACTGAACAAGGTATATAATCGGGGATCGAAATATAAAATGCTGCGGATCCTGGTATGACTCATCGACGCAACTCCGGAATTCATAATTAGTTCCGACAGTCTTGATTACACGACTACAGATACGCTTTCTTATGCACAATAATATTTTACTTGGTCGTCATGGTTACCTGGTAATATTGTGGGGTAGGCAAGCATGGGCAAGGCGATGATAAACATGACACCACCACTGATGAGGAAACTGACCCACCACGCCCCGACCCAGCGGGGATCCGCAGGGGTCAAGTCTATTCTGAAATAGTGCAATTAAGAGGATGTTTATATGTCCTACACTTATTGAGGAAATGTTGTGGACATGCAGATGTCTTAAGGTGAAATATAATATTATAGCACAATAAGAAATGCCTTACATCGCAGTCCAGCATCCATCACGTTATTTGTGGAAGTAGTAAACGGTAAACGGACAACAGTAAGGACACATATCTGTTAATATTGCTAATTTTAACCTTGAACGACAACAGAGTAAGCTATTGGATGAATCACTAAAACCAGAGCAACGCCAAATCCTGCGGCGTAAAGATTTAAATTATTTGTTAACTATTGGTTATTCTGTAATGAACATTCCTGTTTGACGGGGATTCACTGAGTAGTGTCAACACGCCGCCGGGAGAGTTGTTTCATCCTTGTACTTACTTTGAGACGTCGACTTTGTCAACGTCGGTGAAGACATTGAGGAATTGTCCGCCCACTGTGTAACCGGAAGCAACACCGAGCGATGCAGCAGCATATACGATACCTGCAACATCAAAATGGCCGATATTTGTAACACCAGACACAGCCGTTATTTGTAACAACAGGCACAGCCGTTATTTGTAACACCAGGCACAGCCGATATTTGTAACACCAGGCACAGCCGTTATTTGTAACACCAGGCACAGCTGTTATTTGTAACACCAGGCACAGCCGATATTTGTAACACCAGACACAGCCGTTATTTGTAACATCAGGCACAGCCGATATTTGTAACACCAGGCACAGCCGTTATTTGTAACACCAGGCACAGCCGTTATTTGTAACATCAGGCACAGCCGTTATTTGTAACATCAGGCACAGCCGTTATTTGTAACACCAGGCACAGCCGTTATTTGTAACACCAGGCACAGCCGTTATTTGTAACACCAGGCACAGCCGTTATTTGTAACACCAGAAACAGCCGTTATTTGTAACACCAGAAACAGCCGTTATTTGTAACACCAGGCACCGTCGTTATTCGTAACACCAGGCACAGCCGTTATTTGTAACATCAGAAACAGCCGTTATTTGTAACATCAGAAACAGCCGTTATTTGTAACAACAGGCACAGCCGTTATTTGTAACACCAGGCACAGCCGATATTTGTAACACCAGGCACAGCCGATATTTGTAACATCAGGCACAGCCGTTATTCGTAACACCAGGCACAGTTGTTATTTGTAACATCAGACACAGCCGTTATTTGTAACAACAGGCACAGCCGTTATTTGTAACATCAGAAACAGCCGTTATTTGTAACACCAGGCACAGCCGTTATTTGTAACATCAGGCACAGCCGTTATTTGTTACACCAGAAACAGCCGTTATTTGTTACACCAGAAACAGCCGTTATTTGTAACACCAGGCACAGCCGTTATTTGTAACACCAGGCACAGCTGTTATTTGTAACACCAGGCACAGCCGTTATTCGTAACACCAGGCACCGTTGTTATTCGTAACACCAGGCACAGCCGTTATTTGTAACATCAAGCACAGCCGTTATTTGTAACATCAGGCACAGCCGTTATTTGTAACACCAGGCACAGCCGTTATTTGTAACATCAAGCACAGCCGTTATTTGTAACATCAGGCACAGCTGTCATTTGTAACATCAGAAACAGCCGTTATTTGTAACACCAGGCACAGCCGTTTCTTGTAACAACAGGCACAGCCGTTATTTGTAACACCAGGCACAGCTGTTATTTGTAACATCAGGCACAGCCGTTATTTGTTACACCAGAAACAGCCGTTATTTGTAACACCAGGCACAGCCGTTATTTGTAACACCAGGCACAGCTGTTATTTGTAACATCAGGCACAGCTGTTATTTGTAACATCAGGCACAGCCGTTATTTGTAACATCAGACACATCCGTTATTTGTAACATCAGGAACAGACGTTATTTGTAACATCAGGCACGGCCGTTATTTGTAATATCGATGGACGACACAAGACCTCACGATAGGAAACGCACCATGGGCGACACATGGTAGGCAACGCACGTCTAGACTGGACGATAAAGAATGGCCCGCACGGAATGGACGACATACGATGGACGACACGGAATGGACAACAACATGTACGGGACAGAGTGGTGCTTGTATTTTTGTTGATATTTTTCGGTCTCTTCTTCTAAATATAGTTCCCTCAAGTCCAGTGAACCATTTAGTTTTGGGGCTAAAACGTCTGGACAAAACATTATTTAAACAGTAAACAGAAAACAAAAACAACAACAACAACAACAACAACAACAACAAACAAACAAAACTCACACCACTGAGGGACACCAGTGTCACGTGCTGTAAACCACAGGAATGAGCTACCTCGTCTGCCTTCCATCACTGTATATTAAAGACAGTGAACAATGGAGTATTTACCTAGATAAAAAGACGTCATCTTGGCCTGTGTGTTCTCATCAATGAAGGTCGTTCCGAGGGTAAACATGGGCGTGGCTCCAGCTCCGTGCAGCGCGTTACCGAGCATGAAGAAGTAGACGTAGTTTTGTAGGTAGGACTCTTTCCGTACACCGCACTCGGTACTGTTGCCTATCTCTGTGCATGATGTTTCGTGGACATCTGCAAGGGCAATAACTGATACTGTTGTCTGAGTGGCAGAGTCTTGATGCGTGAGGGTGTGTGTGCGTGACTACATGCACGTGAGTGAAAACTCTTTGTCCACGGAAATCCCTAAAACATACTTAACCCAGAGCAAGTCATTTCTGGTCCTCCAGTGAACAAATTACTTTACAATCTGACTAGATATACATTGCAACATTAACTTTGGGCGTATTGAATATTCCAGCCATGGGAAATATATTAAAAAAAAAAAAATGTAGAAACCCTTAAAGTATTCCATAGGATTCGTAATAAATCATGAACATTAACTCTATTTTCCACCGGTCGTTTTCGATGAAGAGAAAGGAATGGGTTAATAAAAATAAAATGGAATCGTAACCTTGAGTGATTTTACGTCCCTTAATTTTGACTCAGATAAAGGGAGGGTACCTACAATGAGCATGGGATGGCAGGGTTACGGTTTGACTGTAAGGAATGCTTGTAAGAAGGGTTTAAGATTACCCACACTACTGATCTGTGACAGGAGGCATGTTTAAGGAAGGTGCTGATTACATGTGTCTCAGCAGAACGAGCGTGCCCCCCTGCTAAGGGACGACCTGCTAACGGACAGCAAGTAGGGTGACTTCATCCCCCGTATAGCCGCGGGGAGGATGGGGCACTGATGTTGCCAGGGACTGAACATACATTTAAAATTATCTATGTCTTTCCTTTAAACAATGTCAGTGTCGTGGCTGTTCAATATGCGTAAATATGTGTATATATTTATCTAGTTCATTTTTCACCAAGAGATAAAGCTATCCAAAGATGCTTATGAGCGTAGACTCTTTAAAGTAACAAGTGCGATTCACAACACACATACACAGTATAATTGCATGCTCCAAAGGTTGAACACGCTATGTAGTTAGTGAGCACTATGTCTCTTCCTCACCTACACAAGGACTTCTGGTTGTATACATCATCAATGTATACAGTTTTCACTCACCGGGGACGCTTAGTTCTATGCAATTGCAATGTATACAGTTTTCACTCACCCGAGGACTTATAGTTGTAGACACCTGCAATGAAGTGTGGAAGAGCAAACACAAACGACCCCAGTCCCAGGAGGAAGATGCCACCAGCGATGAGACGAGGTTTGTTGCGTGTAGCGCCGTAGTAGCTGATGACGAGAACGAGGAAGAGAGCGAGGAAGTCGTTGGAGCTGATGATGAGGCCGGACAAGGAGCTGGACAGCTCAAACCGTGTCTCTAAAGAGCTGATGATTGCGTTGGTGACGCCGTTGATTGTAAAGCCTTGGAACAGACTGAAGACCGACGTCCAAAACACGTACCAGCGGATAGTGTTGAACACCTGCAGACACCTTTGGAAGATAGAGGAGAGCACTTGACACATAGGCTTGTACATGTATTCGGGACTGACATTTGCATGGGTATAGGCAAAATACAATAGGTTGTGTAGATGCGTTCCTGGGATGTTTGTGAGGGCGTGTTCCTGGATTGTTTGAGTAGATGTGCTCCTGGGATGTTTGTGTGGGCGTGCTCCTGAGATGTTTGTGTAGGCGTGCTCCTGAGATGTTCGTGTAGGCGTGCTCCTGAGATGTTTGTGTGGGCGTGCTCCTGAGATGTTTGTGTGGGCGTGCTCCTGAGATGTTTGTGTAGGCGTGCTCCTGGGGTGTTCGTGTGAGCGTGCTCCTGGGATGTTTGTGTAGGCGTGCTCCTGGGGTGTTCGTGTGAGCGTGCTCTTAGGATGTTTGTTTAGGCGTGCTCCTGGGGTGTTTGTGTGAGCGTGCTCCTGGGATGTTTTTGTGGGCGTGTTCCTGGGATTTTGTGTGGGCGTGCTCCTGGGATGTTTGTGTGAGCGTACTCCTGGGGTGTTTGTGTGGGCGTGCTCCTGGGGTGTTCGTGCTCCTGGGGTGTTTGTGGGCGTGCTCCTGGGGTGTTTTGTGGGCGTGCTCCTGGGATGTTTGTGTGGGCGTGCTCCTGGGATGTTTGTGTGGGCGTGCTCCTGGAATGTTTGAATGAGTGTGCTCCTGGAATGTTTGTGTGGGCGTGCTCCTGGGATGTTTGTGTGAGCGTGCTCCTGGAATGTTTGTGTGGGCGTGCTCCTGGGATGTTTGTGCTCCTGGGTGTTCGTGTGAGCGTGCTCCTGGGGTGTTTGTGTGGGCGTGCTCCTGGGATGTTTGTGTGGGCGTGCTCCTGGAATGTTTGTGTAGAGTGTGCTCCTGGAATGTTTGTGTGGGCGTGCTCCTGGGATGTTTTGTGTGAGCGTGCTCCTGGGGTGTTCGTGTGAGCGTGCTCCTGGAATGTTTGTGGGCGTGGCGTCCTGGGGTGTTTGTGTGGGCGTGCTCCTGGGATGTTTGTGTGGGCGTGCTCCTGGGGTGTTTGTGTGGGCGTGCTCCTGGAATGTTAGGTGTGTGGCGTCGCCCTGGAATGTTTGTGTGAGCGTGCTCCTGGAATGTTTGTGTGGGCGTGCTCCTGAGATGTTTGTGTGGGCGTGCTCCTGAGATGTCTGTGTAGGCGTGCTCCTGAGATGTTCGTGTAGGCGTGCTCCTGGAATGTTTGTGTGGGCGTGCTCCTGTAATGTTTGTGTGGGCGTGCTCCTGAGATGTTTGTGTAGGCGTGCTCCTGGGATGTTTGTGTGGCGCGTCCTGGGGTGTTTGCGTGGGCGTGCTCCTGGAGGGTTCGTGTGGGCGTGCTCCTGGGATGTTTGTGTGGGCGTGCTCCTGGGATGTTTGTGTGAGCGTGCTCCTGGAATGTTTGTGTGGGCGTGCTCCTGGAATGTTTGTGTGGGCGTGCTCCTGGAATGTTTGTGTGAGCGTGCTCCTGGAATGTTTGTGTGGGTGTGCTCTTGAGATGTTTGTCTGAGTGTGCTCCTGGGATGTTTGTGTGGGTGTGCTCCTGGGATGTTTGTGTGAGCGTGCTCCTGGGGTGTTTGTGTGAGGTGCTCCTGGGATGTTTGTGTGGGCGTGCTCCTGGGGTGTTTGTGTGGGCGTGCTCCTGGGATGTTTGTGTGGGCGTGCTCCTGGGATGTTTGTGTGAGCGTGCTCCTGGGATGTTTGTGTGGGCGTGCTCCTGGAATGTTTGTGTGGCGTGCTCCTGGAATGTTTGTGTGGGTGTGCTCTTGAGATGTTTGTCTGAGTGTGCTCCTGGGATGTTTGTGTGGGCGTGCTCCTGGGATGTTTGTGTGGCGTGCTCCTGGGGTGTTCGTGTGGCGTGCTCCTGGGGTGTTAGTGTGAAGCGTGCTCCTGGGATGTTTGTGTGGAGCGTGCTCCTGGGATGTTTGTGTGAAGTGCTCCTGGAATGTTTGTGTGGGCATGCTCCTGGGGTGTTTGTGTGGAAGTGCTCCTGGGATGTTTGTGTGAAGCGTGCTCCTGGAATGTTTGTGTGGGCATGCTCCTGGGGTGTTTGTGTGGGCGTGCTCCTGGGATGTTTGTGTGGGCGTGCTCCTGGGGTGTTTGTGTGGGCGTGCTCCTGGGATGTTTGTGTGGGCGTACTCCTGGGGTGTTTGTGTGTGCGTGCTCCTGGAATGTTTGTGTGGGCGTGCTCCTGAGATGTTTGTGTAGGCGTGCTCCTGAGATGTTTCTGTAGGCGTGCTCCTGAGATGTTTGTGTGAGGCGTGCTCCTGGAATGTTTGTGTGGGCGTGCTCCTGGAATGTTTGTGTGTGAGCGTGCTCCTGGGATATTTGTGTAGGCGTGCTCCTGGGATTTTGTTTGGGCGTGCTCCTGGGATGTTTGTGTGGCGTACTCCTGGGGTTTTGTGTGGGGCGTGCTGCTGGAATGTTCGTGTGGCGTGCTCCTGGAATGTTTGTGTGGCGTGCTCCTGGAATGTTTGTGTGAAGCGTGCTCCTGGGATGTTTGTGTGTGCTCTCCTGGGGTGTTTGTGTGTGGGCGTGCTCCTGGGGTGTTTGTGTGCGTGCTCCTGGAATGTTTGTGTGGCGTGCTCCTGGAATGTTTGTGCGTGCTCCTGGAATGTTTGTGTGCGTGCTCCTGGGGTGTTTGTGTGGCGTGCTCCTGGGATGTTTGTGTGGGCATTACTCCTGGGGTGTTTGTATGTGCGTGCTCTGGGGTGTTTGTGTGGGCGTACTCCTTGGAGTGTTTGTGTCAGTGTACTCCTGAGGTGTTTGTGTGGGCATGCACCTGGGGTGTTTCTGTGCGCGTACTCCTGGGGTGTTTGTGTGGGCGTGTTCCTGGAATGTTTGTGTGGGCGTGCTCCTGGGGTGTTCGTGTGAGCGTGTTGCTGGAATGTTCGTGTAGGCGTGTTCCTGGAATGTTCGTGTGGACGTGCTCCTGGAATGTTTGTGTGGGCGTGCTCCAGGAATGTTTGTGTGGGCGTGCTCCAGGAATGTTTGTGTGCGCGTGCTCCTGGAGGTGTTTGTGTGCGCGTGCTCCTGGGGTGTTTGTGTGGGCGTACTCCTGGGGTGTTTGTGTGGGCGTGCTGCTGGGGTGTTTGTGTGGGCGTGCTCCTGGGATGTTCGTGTGGGCGTGCTCCTGGAATGTTTGTATGCGTGCCCTGGGGTTTCGTGTGGCGTGTTCCTGGAAATGTTAAATGTGGGCGTGTTCCTGGAATGTTCGTGTGTGCGCGTGCTCCAGGAATGTTTGTGTGTGGGCGTGCTCCTGGAATGTTTGTGTGTGCGTGCTCCTAGAATGTGTTTGTGTCGCGTACTCCTGGGGTGTTTGTGTGGGTGTACTCCTGGGGTGTTTGTGTGGGCATGCTGCTGGGGTGTTTGTGTGGGCGTGCTCCTGGGATGTTCGTGTGGGCGTGCTCCTGGAATGTTTGTGTGGGCGTGCCCCTGGGGTTTTCGTGTGAGCGTGTTCCTGAAATGTTCGTGTAGGCGTGTTCCTGGAATGTTTGTGTGGGCGTGCTCCTGAAATGTTTGTGTGGGCGTGCTCCTGAGGTGTTCGTGTGAGCGTGTTCCTGGGATGTTTCTGTGGGCGTGCTCCTGGGGTGTTTGTGTGGGCGTGCTCCTGGAATGTTTGTGTGCGCGTGCTCCTGGGGTGTTTGTGTGCGCGTACTCCTGGGCTGTTTGTGTGGGCGTGCTCCTGGGGTGTTTGTGTGGGCGTGCTCCTGGGGTGTTTGTGTGGGCGTGCTCCTGGAATGTTTGTGTGTGCGTGTTCCTGGAATGTTTGTGTGGGCGTACTCCTGGGTGTTCGGGATCTCCGCGATCAGGAGCACTTGCATGTTCACTCGCCTCTCATCGACACTAATATTCGCAAATTACATGTAAAGACATATAAATAATATGTTTTCGTCATTTATGTTAAAGGAACTTTAATTTATATGTCAATGTAAAAATATTACTTCTCGGGGCCGGTTTGGGTCAAATATCAGGGGCCGGTTCGGGTCAAATATCAGGGGCCGGTTCGGGGGTAATTCCTCACAACGTCAGGGTGAGGGGCCATAGAGTCTGACCACCCGGTGCTCCACGTGGGGTCCAGGGGACCATGTAAACCATGCAAAATCGATAGCGATGTGGTGTTTGCATTTTTTTGAAAGCAATCCTGACGTAGAACAGTGTATGAGATGTCTTGGTGTATCTACATGTAGACATGTTTTCAGAGCACCTACTTTGGCTTCCACGATCCCCATCCGTATTGAAGCTCTTTCTGGTCGTCTTCCGGTTCATCCTCCACCTCGGCATCAAGTCTCAGCTCCTTTTCCCTGACGTCCCCGTCGGCTGGCGGACCGTAGCCTCTCTTATTGTATGGCGGCATGACTCTACGGTAGTATCTGCTGTTGGCGACTCGTAACCTGCCGTGGCAATATTGGCTTGTTACACCGAGCATAAAAACTTAAAATCACATATTACAGACAAATACCATTCCAAGTCAAGAGTGGTTCGGTCATTTGAAAACTGTATTCGACCCGTGAACGTCCGGTTCAGAATGTGCCTTCAGTAACCTATGCTTGTCGTAAGAGGCGACTAACGGGATCGGGTGGTCAGGCTCGCTGGCTTGGTTGACACATGTTATCGGTTCCCACTTGCGTAAATCGATGCTCATGCTGTTGATCACTGGATTGTCTGGACTCGATTATTTACCGATGACGACGTTAAACGCCGTGCGCGACTGCCCTATCGTCCTTTTTTTAAATCGACGGATGACGCTGAACCTGTATTTTTGAACGGGTTTAGAAGGGGCAAAATACGTTTATTGTACTTTGCCTCAGTTACGTAACCACTATAAAACATGAACACCCTCTTTGAACAATACATTAGCACCGCTGCAGTGCAAGTAGTTTTTCTGTCAATAACCACTGTGGATTGATGTATTTCAATAATGCATTCTTTGGATGACCAGTTCACTTTCATAGATAACATAATATATGATGTCTTGGGGAGGGTGGATACAGGACATTCTCATCCGCAACTTATATTTTAACGATGAAAATCTTCGTGCTGTGTTGCCAGTATTAACCCCCAAGTTGTCGGATGGAATATACCTGAATATGAATGGTTCGAGGGATGTGTCTTATTATCGTTTTACATGAATGTTACATATGCTCTGGAGGTCTAGTTAACTATATGTATTGTTATAACAAATATAGCTTGCATTTTCATATTAGTTCAGTTCAGGAATGAGATATCATCATGCATGTCGTTCCCTAGAGTAGGTCAGGAATATTTCGCAGAAGTAAGATACTGGCTCTATTCTGCTTGAAACCGTGTTCCATAGAGAGAGAATTTTATGTAAATGTCCCTGTCTGAATAGATGGAGATGCTTAATTGCTCTCAGTTCATATGTTTTAGACATGGGCAACGAGTCTGTTATTGTATAGATGATTAACATAAACCACACTATGAATCAACAGTGGATTAAACACGGCTGTGTCATATATAGATTGACGTGCGTTATATATTGATTGTTTTGACAATGAAATATTAATCCCTTATGTTGGAAAATTCTATACAGTTTAGCAAGACAATGACTGACCGTGAGTCTTTCATCACAAGGGATGCAAAAAACAGAGGATTATTAATTATGTAATATAAAGTCACTAACTTACCTGTTTTGCATAACATCAACTTGTACTCCACGTCAACACAGTTCGGAATGACATTATGTCGGAATAGATCGAAAAAACTATAGTCCAGGCAATCGCATATGGTTGTGACATTTTAAAGTAATCTGCCAGCTTTACGAATAACCGAACGTTGAAACCTCTCTTCGTGCGGTATATTTTTGACAGGTTTATGAGGAGAAAAGACAATCGTCACGATGTTTTTATTGCATCAGCAGTGGTTGGCCTTGTGTCTGTGCGAGATGAAAGCCTGTATTGTACGCTTTATGTAACTCTCGTGTCAGCAAATAGACCAGGGCGGTGTGTTAAAATGTATGTTAATCTACGCCCAAATGGATATAGTAATAATAGTGTATGTAGTTCAGATGCGGACCTCAGGTAATCCCATGATATGTTTTAAATTTTCCATTATTTCAGGAATTAATATTGACCATAGACCCAGGTTTTCATATTAAGAATTACAAATATGAGAAAGTAAATTGTAATATAAACTGTTTCAGTAACATAGACTGGTGTGTATAAACAGACACGTCACAATGCGTGACGTTTATGACAAATAAACCAGTAGTGATATTCATCTTTTATATATAACAGTTTACAGATATTATAAACTCTATTCTAGCCTCTCCAATATGCCTACCTGTTTCTTTCATAGTTTATGAAACCTCGATCTAAACTGAACAAGACCACGTCTGTGTTTCAAATAGCTGTCTGTCTGAACACAAGTTTAAATAAAGAGTATTCAAATGTGCTGTGCCTTGTATCCCAATATTGTAAGAAATAAAAAATGTGGGGAGTTCGGATCTCAGTCTCACATTAGTCTCTCGAGCTCCATGCACGAACTTTGATCATATCTGTGCCATCCACCTTTCTACTCACTTACCAGAAGTTGAGGAGATTTTAATTTCTTTTCAGGTTGAATAGACATATTCTTTGTTTGAAAGGTAAGAGTTTTAACCATACTGTCAAACGTGTTAGAATAACACACAGTCATGCTCTAGACAAGCGTTGAGTGAGGAATACGAGGGAATTTGAGTTTATTCCCGGGGTGAAGAAGGGAAGGACCCGTAGTATTATTTTGTGAAAATTCAACCTGACACAATTCATCATTTGAAAAAAAAGCTGGAAACGAAACGATCAATCAAGTGGGGACTATGTACTCAATTTAGGTTTAGCAAAACCAACTCGGATGGTCTAACATCATTTTCTGAACCTTATTTTAGAACAAAAATGTCTCCAGCGACACAAGCTGACGATTTGGATGTGTTGTACACCGAACGCATACATACATAAATGAAACTGATGGACGATTACCAAGGAGATAGTTCAAACTTAAATTTTGAAACAGTTTTGAGTGCTAAATTATCTGTGGTCAAATTTCAACCTTTCCGCGGAAGTTCGTATCTCCCCCTTCCCCCTTCATTAGAGAGAAAACGTTGTCTGTTAAACATTAAAAACGTGGACGATGATTTGTGTTTTGTTTATTGCGTTTTGGCTCACCTGTTTCCTGTTCAATCCCACCAAGTCAAAGAACAAGTGAATAATTACAATGATAAAATTCATTACTTAGACCTGAATGGGTGTTCATTTCCCATGAATCTCAATCATATTTCAAAATTTGAAAAAGCAAATAATTTAAGTATCAATGTCTATGGTTGTGATGAAGATGGAAATCAACGCCTTGTTGTCTTTCCTTTACGAGTCAGTTCGGAGACTTCCGATCTAGCTAATGATCGTCAGATCGATCTACTTCTGTTAACTCAAGAAGTGGAAGAGGAAGAGGAAGACGAACCCCGAATGTCTCATTATGTTTTGATCACCAGTTTACCAGCTTTGGTCAGGAATCCTGGAGATAGTAACAGCAAATTGATTTGTCGAAAGTGTTTGTGGACATTCAAATTTGAACACACTTTGGTGAAGCATGTCCCTTACTGTCATCACAAAGCTCAACGAATTAAAATGCCCGAACCAAACAAAGCTATTCGAACGTTTGGGTTGGGTCAGTATGGTAAAACAGTGAAGGTCCCTTTTGTAATCTATGCAGATTTCGAGTCTGTCCTGGCTCCTTTAGAACATAATGAGACAGCAGGGGGATCTCGTCATGTTCAAGAGCACCTTCCATGTGGTTACAGTTATCAAATAGTGTGCAGAGAACCTAACCTGTATTCGTTTCCAGTAAGGACTTATAGCGGAGAACAGACTACCCAACATTTCATGACACACCTTTTGGAAGATTACGATCAAATCATGGACATTTTAAACAACCCAGTCCCAATGAAATTAACACCCCGTGAAAAGTTGGCATTAGATTTGGAAACTCACTGCTATCTCTGTGGAGAAAAAGTGCAACACACAGGGAGACACATAGATCCCGATCATTTGACAGGTCGAGTCCGGGGTCTGTGTCACAATTATTGTAATGTCAATTACAAAGAATCCACATTTGTGAACGTTATTTGTCACAATGCCTCGCGATATGACAATCATTTGATCCTTCAAGCGGCCGAATTATTCGCCGATCGCAAATTGACATGCATAGGTCAAAATTCTGAACACTTCATCATGTTTCAAATCGATCAGCTTCGCTTTTTGGACAGTTACAAATTTTTGGATACCAGCTTGCAAACACTGGTGAACAATTTGAGAAGCAAAGGTCAAGAAGAATTTATCTATTTGGCAAAGAGCTATCCAGAACACGTGGATTTGTTGACTCGAAAATTGCCTTATTTTTATGAATATGTGGATAGTTTTGAAAAATTAAACCACACCGAATTTCCTAGTCGCGGTGACTTTTATTCTTCTTTATCGGAAGACACGATCTCAGAGGAAGATTATGCCTTTGCTCATCATATTTGGGAGACTTTCAAAATTACATCTGTAAGAGAATTCATGGAACTGTATGTTGTCGTTGATACTTTGATACTGACCGATGTGTTTGAGGCGTTTCGCAACATGTGTCTAAACTATTACAAGCTCGATCCCTGTCAGTACTTTACTCTCCCGGGTATGGCCATGGATGCCTGTCTCTTGATGACAGGAGTGACCCTAGATCTTATGACCGATCCGGACATGTACAATTTTGTCTCCAATGCAGTGAGAGGAGGTGTGGCTAGTATCAATCATCGCCCAAGCCAACAACAAACGCATGTTCGATTTCAACCCATCCCAACCCGAATCTCACCTGATGTATTATGATATTAACAATTTGTATGGAGCAGCCATGAGTTGTCCTTTGCCTCAAGGTGATTTTCAATGGGTAGATGAAATGGAAGTCATAGATTGGTCGCGACTCGACCCCGAAGGTGATGTGGGTTACATTTTAGAGTGTGATTTGGAATACCCACATCATCTTCACTCTATCCATCAATCCTTGCCCCTCGCCCCCACCAAAGAAAGCATTCCCTTCGAAGACCTGTCACCCTATCATCGTGAATTGCTCGCAGAGTTAGGTCTCTTGGGAAAGAAGAATGAGAGGAAGCACCCACGGGGACGAAACTGTTTTCAACATTGAAAGACAAACAGAATTATGTCATTTATTTTGGAACATTACAGCAATATTTGCAGTTAGGTCTGAAACTGAAAAAAGTACACAAAGTTTTGAAATTTACTCAATGTAAATGGATGAAACCTTACATAGACTTTAACACTCAAAAGCGAAAAGAAGCCACAGACGAATTTTCGAAAGATTTGTTTAAATTGCTTTCAAATGCTGTGTACGGAAAACAGTTACA